GCTCCTTACTTTTATACTATGTAATTTCTCATAAATGTTGATATATGCTAAGCACTGTGCTAAGGTGTCAGATGAACAACAAAACATGGCCTATGCCCTCATGGGACTCATATTCTAGTAAATAAACAGAATAAGACAAAGAATAGAAGAAAATTATATATTATTTAAAAGTGTCAGAAAGAAAACAAACAGGATTTATAACAAAATAAATTCACAGTAGTGGATATACCTAACAGTAATGAAAGAAAGCCTCTTTGAAAATTGCTTTGAAGGTGAGACCTAAAGGATGAGAAGGTGCTGACTACGCAAAGAGGAAGGAATATCCAGACAATCACTGGGTCGTTAGAAAGCACAAAGATGGTGGTGTAGACTGTACTGTGTTATCCCAAAATTCACATGTTGAAACCCTAGCCCCCAGTATGACTGTATCTGGAGAGAAGGCTTTTAAGGAGGTAATTAAGGTTAAATGAGAGCAGAAGGATGAGGCCCTAACCTGACAGCATTGGTGTCATAAGAAAAGAGACCTTTTTCTCTCTCTCTCCATGGACAGAGAAGAAAGGCAGGTGCCGACACAGTGAAATGGCACCTGTCCATAAGTCAGGAAGAGAGGCCTCACCAGAAACCAACCCTGATGGCACCTTAATACTGACTTCTAGCCTCCAGACCTGTGAGAAAAATTTCTGTTGTTAAGTCACCAAGTCAGGGATGTTTTGTTATGGTGGCCCAAGTAAACAAAAACAAATGGGAAAAACCTAGATGTTTACGGGAAATGACAAAACCAGTGTGCTAGAAATACAGAGGGCAAAGGAGATAATAATACATCAAAGATTTATGCCCCTAGATGGTAGATAAACCAGAAATAAGATGATCACAAAAATAGTCCCTGCCGTAGGAGTTTTAGCTGGATTTGGAAATGTATGGTATGGGTTTTTGTTCTCTCAATGACTGTGAGTCACTAAAATACTATATAGTGACTAGAATATAATAATCTACATTCCACTCTAGAATGCACAAAACGGCCCCGCACAACAAAGAATTGAAAATTTCCCTAAATGTTAATAGTGCCCTGTTGAGAAACAATGGTAATGAATATGTTTTGTTTACTCAGGGGCCTACAGAAAACCAAGATTTAGCCTTTATTTTTTTGTATTCTTACAACCACTAAGGGTAGTTCTGAGCTAATTCTGGTGAATTCATAAATGTGCAAAGAATGATGTTGGATACAAATGAATCAGACACCAATCCTAGGTCCAAGAGCCACAGAAAGGGTGATATGATACCACATTTCATCAAAACTAAGGTATCACTGGTTATAAGATGTACCATTTTATAACATAAATTATACATTAATGTTATAAAATGATAACATAAGGGAACACCACCAAGTAAATATGACATCAACTATAAGACACATCCTAACTTCAGAGCTGTTAAAATGTGAAAAAAATAAACATCTTGCCCTGGCCGGGTGGCTCAGTTGGTTTGAGCATAGTCCTGTACACCAAAAGGTTTCGGGTTCAATTCCTAGTCAGGGCACATACCTAGGTTTCGGGTTTGATAGCAGGTTGGGAGGCAACTGATCAATGTTTCTCTTTCACATTGATGTTCCTCTCTCTCCCCCTTCCTCTACCTCTAAAATCAGTAAATATATCCTTGGATGATTAATATAAACAAACAGATAGATGATAGATAGACAGACAGATAGATCTTAAATAAATGAAAAAGAATATGAAAATAGTTAAAATGCAAATAGTAGGAATTGTATGAAAGTCCACAGAAGGGATGGATTGCTTCATGAAGAAAGTAGTATTTAAGCCCAATCTTGAAGGAGGGTAGAAGTAGGGGGAACAGAGATTGAGAAAGAGTATTTTTCGAAGGAGGGAACTGCAAGAAGCAAAACACACAGCAACAATAAAGTGAGGGATGGCTAGAGAAAAATATTTAAAGAGAAAAAACAATGTTGAAAAATTAGAAGGACAAGGGTTAAGAAAACCTTGTATACACCTAGGCTAAAGAGGCTGAATATTATTACACATGCTTGGGTAATGGTTCGCAAATGCTTTTTTTTTACCCCCATACACTTTAGAGTTATAATATAGATAAAAAATACGGCTCATTCTAGCAGTGATTCTAAACTATAGGAGATGAGAAATGAGCAGAAGAGATTAATTCTTATGGGAATACAATTTGAAAAACCCATCCAGAATATCCTAACTTCTACCTCCACCTCACCTTGAGAATCACTGCCTTCTATGCACTTAGGGAACCCCTAGAAAAATTTCAGTAACCAAATGACTCAGGTTACATTTCGGCAATGATAATCCAGCACAACTGGGTAAAAATGAATGAGAATTAGAAAAAAACACTGAAGACTGAGAATCTACATAAGCAGCTGTTCTTCCAGGCAAGAAGTTAAACAAATTTAAATTACATTAGTAATAGTGGAGAAAATGTATAGGAGAACTATTATAAGAAACAGGAAAAGAAAAACAGGGAAGAAAATGTTTAAGACACAAGACAAACTCACACAAGAATATGTGCACTCTAAAATACTGGTGGTCATTCAGGTAATGTCTAGTAGGCATCAATGTTTAGAAAAAAAATGAAGTTTAAATCTGGAAAAAAGATGTGTACATTATCTGAAATGAGGCATTACAGCCATCATTTGGATAAAGCAATGAAAAGGTGCCAACAGAAGTATCTCAGAGACACTTTTTAAAAAGCAAACATGTATTAAAGCAACTGGTTCCTTTATTACAAATAATTGTTTTCACACTTTACAAATCTCATGCTGATCATCATCACCATCGTTAATTTTAACAAAAAAAATTTAAAACAAAAAAGCAAAGCAGCGAAGATTAAGAGCATGCCAGGAACATATAAAGTAATTCAAAAAACACAGCAGCCCGGCAGGGCGTGGCTCAGCGGTTGAGCTTCGACCTAGGATCCAGGTGATCGGGGTTCGATTCCCAGTCAGGGCACATGCCCGGGTTGCAGGCTCTATCAATGACTCTCTCATCATTGATGTTTCTCTCTCTTTCTCTCCCCCCCACTTCCTCTCTCTGAAATCAATAAAGATACATTTAAAAAACAAACAAAAAAAAACAAACCCCAAAACACATTAATTTCCAATCT